CCGCTCCCGGCCACCGCAGCCTCGACCCGCAGGGCTCCGGCGATCCTTTCACCTCAGCCTTCCAAGTAGCTGGAACCACAGGCGCACGCTACCACACCCAGCTAATTTTTTTATTTATTGTAGAGATGAGGTCTCGCCAAGTTGCCCAGGAGGGTCGCGAACCCGCGGGCTCAGGCAATCCACTCACCTTGGCCTCCCGAAGGCGCGGGATTACAGGCTGAGCCACTGAGCCTGGCCCAAAATACTTGTCTAATTCAATCAGTCAATTTGTTCCTTTGAACTCCTTTATTCTTTGCAGGTAACGACAAGGTCTGGAATCGGAGGGAAGGAGAAAGAACAGTTTTGGAGAGAGGAGAGCCAGAGGTCTGTGTGCATCTAGGAACCTGACAGTCGGCCCCTCAGCAGTTGAGGGTGACGAGAGGACCCCAAGTTCACTTAGAGGATGCAATGCCACATGACCTCCATCAGAAGGAAGGTGTTCATGGTAGTCACACGCCACCTTGGTTACCTTGTGACAGAGGGCCTATTTGTTTGCTTATGGGGAACAGGACAGACACACTTTGAATGAATAAAATTTTCCATGCTGATTTTCGAAATGCAATATGTAGGCGCAATGTAATAATTACATCAGTCATTAAACATCTACACAGTGTTTTCTTGCACATCATACGTTTCACATGACTGAACTCAGAATGTTTCCATGCGTAACAGCTTCAGCTGGCCACATCACATTAGGCTGGTTTTCCTCCACGAAATACAGGAACTAAGGAATGGAAGGATCTTGTTTGCAATTTCTTGGCATGCTTTTTTTTTTTGAGTTGGAGTCTCACTCTGTCGCCCAGACTGGGTAGCAGTGGCACGCTCCCGGCCACTGTAGCCTCGACCTGCTGGAGTCCGGCAGTCCTTCCGCCTCAGCCTTCCAAGTAGCCGGAACTACAGGCGTGCGCTACCACACCCAGCTAATTTTTTTTTGATTTATTGTAGAGATGAGGTCTCGCCAAGTTGCCCAGGCGGGTCTCGAATTCGCGGGCTCAGGCAATCCACTCACCTCGACCTCCCAAAGCGCGGGATTACAGGCTGAGCCACCAAGCCCGGCTTCTTGGCATGTTTTTACAGAGGAAAGAGGTAAGCTTTTCTGAGACTGATCTGATGTTTTACTCTTTTCTTTCTCAAATATCCCCCGCCCCCTCCCCACTTTTCCAGATTTGTGAAGTATAGAAAGAAAACAAACAACTCTGCAAGAGTTTCTTGGGACAATAGAGGAAAGGACTTTCGTAAGTATTTAAAAATTAATCCCAACCTAAGAGCTTGTCAAGCAAACCTGGTCTGAGGTGTCTCCTAAAACTCAAAGAGCTACTTGGGAGGCTGAGGTGGGAGGATCGCCTGAGCCCTGGAGGCTGAGGCTGTGGCGCCATGACCATGCCACTGCACTCCAGCCTGGGAGACAAACAAAATAAATTTTAAGAAGTGAGACAAGGGGTATAAACATGGCCTGTGGAGTCCACAGCATTTCACTGTTAAGGACAGTGCATCTTACTTTTAACGTGCATGATGCCTGGGTTCTTCATGGCAGCAAGATGCAAGGCGGACGTGCCGTGCCGTCATCACAGTGCCACCTTGCTCCCTGAGTCTTTGTTTTCTTGATTTATTGTAGAGACAAGGTCTCATCAAGTTGCCTGGGCTGGTCTCAAACCCGCGGGCTCAGGCAATCCAGTCACCTCGGCCTCCCAAAGTGCTGGGATTACAGGCTGAGCCACCCAGCCTGGCTTGTACCCCACATCTTTACAATAACATAAAGTTTTTAAAAAAGGATCATTTATGTTCCCCTCTCTGCCCTCTTTGCCAGCACTTCCTGTCTTCTGGCACGCCTACCTGGGGCATTCTCTAAGCCTCTGTCCTTGTCCCCTTCTGTCCTTTTATTATGCTTAGAGAAACTGTCTACACTCATGACTTAACTTTTATCCTCAAATAGGCAAATCTTGATTTGATATCTGTTGCCTTAAACATTTACTTTTTTTCCCCAGTTGAAAAAAAAATTTGTGCATACATACAACATAAAATTTGCTATTTTAACCATTTGTAAGTGTACAATTCAGTGGTATTAATTACCCCCACAATGTTGGCAACCACATCCACCACCTATTTTTTTTTTTAGTTGGGGTCTCACTCTGTCGCCCAGGCTGGAATACAGTGGTACAATCAAGGCTCACCACAGCCCAGGCTGGTCTCGAACTCCTGGGCTTAAGCGATCCTCCTGTCTCGACCTCCTAAAGTGCTAGAAGTACAGTCCTGAGCCATCACACCCAGTCTGAGACCTATTTTTAGAGCAACATAAATACTGGATGGGAAGACATAAACAATCTCATGAAAGCTCTTAGAAGAATCTTAGCTTGCAAATTAATAATGATAGCTAATATTTATTGTGTACTTGCTACATATCAGACATTGTTTTAAGGACTTTCTGCATATCACATCATTTAATTCTCATAATTCCTTTATGAGGAGTCCTTTAATCACTATCTGGGTTACCATAGTGCC